GTCATTATTAACTACAGAGAATATAGGTGCTCATATCCTTATTGTGTTTGTGTAAAACTGTGCAAACGTTTGCACGCGCTGTCCACGGCTGTGCAACATTCCAACAGCTGTATCGGCTCTGAGGACACTATCACAGTCTGGTAGACTGCCTCGGCGCGCCTTCATCCATCCATTCAAGTCCAGAGGAGGTGTCAGTATTAATGTATCAGGGCGCACAGATGTGCTCCCTGCTCCTGCACGCGCACTGCTTGCACCCCACACCAACACGCACACACTGAGTGAGGCAGCAGGTTTGACCCCCTAGAGTGGGGAGTGATATCATATGCTTTTACGCTATACTTGCACAGTAGTGCCCAGGCACCATCTGTCTGTGCAGCCAGCCCCTCTCTCTTTGTTAAGTGTGTGTGTTTGTGCATGTAAGTGTGTGTGTGTGTGTGTGTGACAGAAAGAGAGGGAGAGAGGAGAGTCCAGCAGCTGTATTTACACCTGTATGAGCAGATCTCTGTTGGCAGTGTGGCAAAGGAACACACCAGCTGCTTAACCTATATTCCCTACCAAGCTGCCTTTGTGTGCACCCTGCAATAAGACACAAGTGCACACACACACACACACACTAATGAAGCTTTCTTTCCCCTTTTCTGTGACCTGGCTGACTGCATAGATATCTTTGTACGTGCTGCACTCCTGCAGACCACCGGTGTGCAAAATTGTGCTGCTGTTTGTCTTCAGAAGCCTCAGGTTTCTGACATCAAAGAAAACCTCACCGAGTTCACACAGAGCCCTCGCCTCTCTTAATTTAGATGCTCCCCCGACTCCGTCAAAATAGGGAGAGTCGGATGTGGCTAGGCATCTGCCTGATAACCTCCCTCCAGATGAGGCCAGGGCAGAGAGTGGAGGAGCATAGCCAACCTTCTGCTACTCCTCAGAGTCTCTTGGGAATACCAGACAAAGAGAGGTGTGTCACCTCTGCCCCAACCTCTTGTTTCCTGTCAGCCTAATATGGAAGCGTGTTAGACCCAGTTGAATTAAATCCCAAAGACGGTGATCACAAAATCCAAAACTCGTTCCTGTCACAACTTCATCTTTGAACAGGATTAAGACAGAAATATTCAGCTCTACTCGCGCCTGTATTCACTGGGCAGATTGATTTAACTTGTCAAAATGCCTGTCGCGGTCACATTAGGGATTTGCAAACGGATGAAGAATCGCACACTTATCCCATCTACACACTGTCTGACTTTAACACGGACAAATGAAAATCCAAATGGAAAGATTGTCACACGCAAAACAAAATACCACCCTTTGAGCAAATCCCGCTGATGACATTTTCAGGCGAATAGAGTGCAGGCGGGGTAAGGAAAAAGACAACAGCAAAAGAACAAATGAGACCCTGTGACCCGCTGCAGATGTGCCCTCAGATTACTGTAATGCGTGTGTGAGCCATCCCGATACCAGAGCCACAGAGGCTCGCTGAGACCGGAGCTAGAAAAGGGGCTTTAAGAACGCACCACATGGCGGCGAGGCTAAACCATTTGCACAAATCACCTCACTTCCCTCTCTTTTTAATGGCCCAGGCGGAGCTGCTATTAGGGCCAACGGTTAAGAGATGAATGTGTGAACGATTATTCTCCAGGAGTGGGGTCGTCACCCTCACAGGTCGATCCCACCCCCCCCTCTTTCTCTGACTTCTCTCTGTAGCAATGACCCATGTTTGACTTGTTTCTCATCGCGACTCTTTTTCTGCCCGCCACACCCGCTCCGTCGTGCTTTGCATCACATACTGTAATCGGGCGCTCTTTGTCTACACTGAGGTCAAAACTGTTTACTGCCAGCTCAGCACGGTTGACGATTCTCCCAGCGTGACCTCATGCTTTTGTTGTATTCTGAGGAGCGTGCAATTTGATTTGTAACACCAAAGGATAGGTTTGGGACTTTTAAAGTCTGGTGTAAAACAACGCTGATGCACACGTTTGGGGAAATAGCTCTTTTGCTCTTTGTGTAAGTCTGGTGACACTGTAGTTCATTTCTTTAAAAGTTCAAGTCTGTGTTCTTGAAAAGTTTTCTGTGGTTCCCTGCTGAGCTGTGGATATAGAGAGATCGAGGACATATCTTGTTTGAATGTTTATCCATCCATCCATTCGCTTCCGCTTATCCTTTTCAGGGTCGCGGGGGGCGCTGGAGCCTATCCCAGCTGTCATAGGGCGAGAGGCGGGGTACACCCTGGACAGGTCGCCAGTCTGTCGCAGGGCCAACACACAGGGACAGACAACCATTCACTCGCACATTCACTCACACATTCACACCTAGTGGCAATTTGGATTATCCAATTAACCTATCCCCACAAGCTGCATGTCTTTGGACGGTGGGAGGAAGCCAGAGTACCCGGAGGGAACCCACGCAAACACGGGGAGAACATGCAAACTCCACACAGAAAGACCCCGGCCTGATGTTGGAATTGAACTCAGGACCTTCTTGCTGTGCGGCATTGAATGTTTAATTACTATGAATACCAGTTACTCATGACAGAAGAACTTTAACCGGTTGCACCTGATCTGCTTTACATTTCTGTAGCCTTCTTGCAGCTTTCTTTGCATTAACTCTGCTGCTATTAATTTCCATCGAGTATATAAATTGCACCAGCATGTTCCAGGACGACTGTAGGGACAAAGTGGCACATTGTAAATCCTAAAGCTTACTTGGCCTTTGCTATGCCCATGGAGAGCTGACCCCATCTGGCCTTCTTTCTACAATTGGTGTCCATCCATTTACCAGTTGGAGGCCAGAGTTTGGGCTCAGAAAGTTCAACAGACTCAGCGGAGGGTAAGACGTTAGAGATCCCCCCCTCTCCGTGGAGCTCTTTGATAAGCGGCAGTTTACCAGGGGCCTCCATTACACCAACCAGTGTGTTCATTTGTCAACTCGCACTCCAGGAGTAAGACATTCCAGGGCAAATTGTTGCTCCCTTTCTCCCGGCGGAACACGCTACACATTCATGTACCAAGACTAATTGGAGACTGCGAGCTATCACCGGGAGGGCCCGGGAGGATGCGGCGAAAGCGATAAAATAAAGAAGTACTACGGAGTGCTTTCGTTGGTTGGAGATCCTGTTTTTCATGGCCGGGGGGAGGTCAGTTTGCAGGGACAGAGTTCAGTCTCATCGGACCTTTATTGCTATAGGGAAACGGCTTATTTACTGTAAACTGTTTATGGAGCTCTGTCACTATCTCTGGACATGCAGAATAAACACAGGAACACACTCCCACTCCTAATGTCTCGTAAACATTAGAAACACGCACAGACCGACAGACAGAAATACACCCTGAAAAAGACGCTACACTCTAGACGACTCTTGGATGCACACACACACGCACAAACACACTGCATACTTGTTAACATAATCACAGCGAACACACATTTGTCAACACCGTCTCTTCCAACCAGGCATGCACATTCATAAGACAGTTCACAGCCATAAATACACACTTGCACTAAAAAAAGAAGTTGCATGCAAACACACAACTCCTTGTCTCAACAGTGCCTGAGTGCTGTTAGTTTTACTGGTGTCCCCAGTTGTTATACAAATTGGATAAACTCTTCATACTCTTTCCCAATCACAACAATCAGAGCCGTTTCCCAGTGTTTTTTTTCCCGCGTTGCATTTACACGGTCGGGTACAAGTTTGTGCACGTGTACCCGATCCCTTTAAAGTTAAGAGAGCAAAAAAATATGACAGATGTCGAAAGAAGAAAAACCCAAAGCGTCCGTCTGCGGACATGATGCATGTGCCAAATATATGGTATCACGCTTTACGGAGCGACTCGAGCAGATGAATCATCGACGTATCCCGTAGGTCTTCAAATCCATCTCAGCACACAGACGTTCTGTTTCCTGCCTCGTATGTGTTGTGCACTTAAACAGACATGTCAAAAAGTATATAATGTGAAAAGTGTGTTTGCTCAAGTGTGCTAGTTTTAATAATTGTTTTTCCGTCTATTTCTGTGCCCCTCAACACCCCCCAACACCCCCTTTCCCTCCCCCCTCTCATGAAGACCCTACCTCTTTGGGGCGGGATGTTTTGCCATTAAAACTCCATGGTGAGTTTTGCTTCTCCCCTCTTCGGCTCCCTTGGCAGCATGCGACTGTATAAAGCACCACAGCACACTGCCTCCTTTACCTCATTTGTCTCCTGGTATATTTTCAACACGTTTTGTAGAGTTGGTGTGGTCGTTCCTCGGCGGGTACGAATCCCAAAGAGGAGTGTTTCTTATTTTCTCATCTTTTTGTGTCTGTGTGTTTTTGATTACCCTTATTCTTCCCTTTTTTTTGGTTTTGTTTTGTTTAACGTTATATTTAAAGTCCGATGAGTCAGCATGTTGTGTTAAAGCCACCGCAGCGCTTTAAGGGAAAAGGGATTTTTTTCTTTCAGATTGTGCATAAATATGCAAAACAGCAGTGAGGTGCTAGGTATGGTGTTACATGTGAAGTAATGCTCAAAGCCCAAACGTCATACTTTAGGTTTTGCTTGGGTTCAGAGTACATGCTGTAGGGGTTCAGGGCTCTTCCATCAAACTTCTGATCTGGTTGTTGTCTTTTTTCTTGACATCGCTGTCTTATTGTCTTTTTCATTCTCTTACGTTAGATGATCTTTTTCCAATAATATCTTTGTGTCGAACACATGTTGTTCAGATTTTATTTTATCCCACTTTGGCTAGATTTTTTCCATCAGATGTGTGTTTGCATGCAGCAAATGTGCCTGTCTGGTTACAGAAATGTGTGATGTGTACCACTCCTACAAAATATTCTCCAGAGAGCAGATGAACCACAATTATTTAATTGTAGCGAGCACTGGAAAAGAAGTTTGTTTTACATTTTTTAACCTAGTTTTTTTTGTTTCCAGTGTATTTTAGCACATCTCATAACTTTACTTTTACTGTTGCAGCCACAGTAGGCCGCCTTTTGACTCCACACGAAATAAAAGCAGCCACACAGCCAAACACAGTGGAGCAGTTAGCAGCGAAAGCGCTACATTTTGGGGGGGCGATGGTGAGATTTGATGATTTTGTTTCTTGGCAGCTGAAAATGAATGTTAAAACATTCCATGTCCTCTTTTGTTGTTAGCCAACTGTTAGCTAAAGTAACAGATTTAGTGACTGTGGAGTTATTACGTAATCAGTAATTCTGGTTTAAACAATGAACATAAGCTCAACATCATTACTTTTACTGAGTACTTATGCTCATTCAATTCATTATTAAATTACCTACTAATCTTAGAGAAATAAGCTAGCTTATTTCATACCGTTAAACTGTCCACCACCTTTCTCTTTTTTTCCTGTGATTTGAATAAGTTTGGTTCTGTGGTCATTCATGGATGTTTTCAGAAAAATAGCCACCCCAAGCCAAGTTTTGGAGACACAATTTAAAATGGGTTGACAGCTTACTTCACCAAAGATGGAAACATGCAAAGCCCCTTAGATTGTGAGAAGAATTTCTAAGCTAGATGTGACATACAGATCTAATAACATTAAATACTGCGCATCCCTTGACCTTGAAATCACCGGTTATGTTGCGACTAAAAATGCTGTAGGTAAGACAGATGAATCCATAACTAGTGAGTTATTGGGGCAAATAATAAAAAGCAGTGAGGTGGAACAAAAAGGCCAGTTTCATTTGATTTTCAGGAAATGTTTAACTGTCACTCCTGAATTTTGAGTTCAATTTTAGCACTAAAATGCACAAAGCGTCCTCCGATTCAAAGATTTTAGTCATGCAGGGGGATGTAGCCAAGTCTCTTGTCAGCGCTCTCTCGTGAAATCAGATGCTTACAAGCTTTTAAAAGAAGCCCTTTTATGACAGTCACTTACAGAGAGTTGATTGAGTGGCTCGGTGAAAGGAACTTTTCCTTTCCTGATTCCCAGGTCTCCAGCTCCTCGTGTGAATAGCGTACGGTGCCTTCCTCAAGTGTTGGGTTTCGTCTTTTGTTGTGGGCAGTCACTCATACTTTTTAATTGAAACTTTTTCCCGTCTGTCTTCAGCCACTCGTGCTCAATCTAGGCCCTTAGTGACTTCAGAGCATATACTTTTCAAAGGTATACATCATTAGCATCGGAATCTTGACCCTTGCAATAAATGCCATCTGCTCAATTTTGAGCTAGTTAAACCGACATTGTTGCTCTAATAGCTTCTGCCTTTAGACGTGCGCCATGACAGTCCGTTCACTATCGTATCGTATGAAGATATTTTACAAACAGAGCCGTCTTTTCTTTTTGAGCAAATGGTGAACTTGAATGCTCCTTGGATTTCCAATTCATTCTTAAGCTTGCGTCTGTGGCCAGATACATTCGTTTATACCAACATTATGGCTGTTTAAGAAATGACTAACGTGGCACTACATGAACTTTAAGGTTTAGAAATTGGTAAAAAAGAAACCCTGATTCTTTCCTTGAACATTTGATGCCCACTCTGCTCCGTTCACCGAGTTCCCCAGCGGTTGTCATTAGTGCTGTGTATTCAACAGAGCCTCAAGGCTGCTTCTTTCCGAGGGCTGTTGTAAAATAATAAATGTGACGTTGAAGGATGTACCCTCCACATAACTGCCCTCTCTCCGTCTTTCTTTTCCTTCCTGCTCGGAGTCTTAATACCGCCTCCTTTTCTGATAAGAATGAACCATATGGCCCAGAATCAGTGAAATGACAGCACTGCAGCTCTTTGTCGCCGGATGGCCAGCTCCATCATATTTGTTTACTGCAAAGGTCCTGAAAATAAATGGAAGCTGCTGTGGACTACCCACCCCCCTACCCCCGCAGAGGCGCCTCATGTTAGCGCCGGACATAGTAATGCAAAAGGACTTTGATGGTTGATGTCTCAGATTGAATTATGCCCTTGAGGAAAAGCTATTAGCTCAGTCAAGAGTCCTCATTTGCTAAATTAAAAGTGGAAATGACATGTGAGTAGTCTTTTCAGTGAATTAAAGTCACAAAGAAAATGAATTCCACTCCCCGCTAAAAGGCAAAAGGAAATTTTGCGGAGAGAGAAGAAAAAGAAAAGAGATTTGCCGTTTGTTTAATGACATACATCTTCTCCTGCTCCCAGTTCCCTCTTAGTATATTTATGTTTCATAAGTTATTGATATTGGGTTACGCTTTTTCTAACTCGGTGCCATTTGCTCGCCTGCTTCCTTACCAAAAGTCTGCTCCAGAAATTGGTATCCATATGGGAAGTGGAATTAGGCCCTGGAGCCGTGCCTGGTTGTCACGAGGGCAAAAACCTCAACACTTTTAAGCCACTTCAAGTGAGATGAAGAGGAAAAAGGATGATTTAAAACACAGATGAATAAACTTTAGCGGTCACTGTACCAGAAGAGACGAGAACTGAACTGTGATCTTTGGTCCTGTTGGCAGGCTCTGTGCTGGCTGTGGTCTCTTCAAAGAGGCCTAAACTCGGCTCATCTGCTACGACTGCAACGTCGAGCCGGAGTTTTAACGTGCCATCGACGACTCGCGCGGCGCCCTGCAGATTGGTGTGTGGGGTCGCCACGAGGTCAGTCCTTCAGAAATGGACAATGTTCTCTACTCGGCAGTGTAAACGTCCTTCTACTTAGTCCTCTTAAAGAAAGTCCATCTGATTATAGTAGTAGTAATAATTTTAACCACTGACACCAAAAGTCAATACGAAGACTGATGAGTTTAGAACAGGCACCTGTCTGCTCGTGACGAGGATTTGTTTTTCCCGACTTACAGGTTTTTTGCAGTTAAACCCCTTACCAAGGAAGAATTTTCACTAATGGAAAAATCCTACAAAATCCCCCTTTTCCTGTCCCATGTAACACAAACAAAAACCGACGTAGAGCTGGTTATTCACTCGCTGGACCTGCTTGTTAACAGTTTTACCTTCTGGTTGAACTGACGGTCAAGCAGAGCTGGGAGGAGAAGACGAGGCCCACTTGGAGTTAGCCAAGGCAATATCCTGAGTGTGACTTTATCTACCCCTGCATCTTCCTTTCACAGACCGGGTTTACTGTGGATATTTGGTTATTCAGCCTTCTCCCTTTGACCCAGCGCTTGTAAATACAAGCTACGACACTGTAGAGGCCTTCCTTATGATTACCTTCACCATTTCCTTTTTCCTGATCCCTCTTTCACACAGGGCCGGCCAAACAAAGACATCTACATCTCCCTCGATCCAGGGAATAATTTATGAGGTGCTGACAGCGGGGAGGCAACAGAAAGAGAGTTTCACCAGCAGCAGGTCTTTCAACAGCTAGTACTGTGAAACCCGGTTGAAGTAGTGGACGCACCGTCTAGTACTGGAAGCGTTATTGTGGTCAACTGTCTTCACTGCATTGCATTGTTTTTCATTAAGTTTTTGTGGTATTAGGCAAGTTTGAAACAAGAGGAGGGATTTGGTCAGTGATAGAGTTACATGTTACATATGTACACACAGGACGTGAGGGGCAAATTCCCACTGGATTCTCCATGTGTTGCGTGATACATTCTTTGTAAGCTGTTGGTAACGCTACACTTGTTTAAGTCTTTCTGACATACATGAGGTTAGGGATGCAACGATACCAATTTTTTCAAACCGATACGATACCGATACTTGGATCTGA